GCAGCTAGAACAAAAATTTTTTCACTGTTAAATAGGGCATTGTTTACACTATATATACCGCTATTCAAAACAGAAAATTTCGTACCTACGATTTTTTCAGAAAATGCCGCCTAAATGCCCACTGTGCACTTTTACTCTAGATACATACGCAGAAAATCCACGACATACCAATCTTATTACGTTTAATTCTTACAAGTTTTCAGTTTATGCTTTTACCCATACTGTATTACACGGCGGCTCATTAAAAATAAATTTTAAAATTAAGCTTCTAAGAGACAGGTGTCAAAAATCATATTAAAGAACTTGAATGCATTCAAGTATCCTGTATCAGAATACACTACTGAACAGTCATCAGTAATTCTTATCTACAAACTTATTTTCAGAACCTTGCATAACGAGTTTATGTGTTTACAGTTTTTTTCACTCCTAGGTGACCATTTTCACATTCGACATATCCTATCAGAAACTTTTCCATATTCGCGTACTTTAAATGAAACCTGTCGGAAGTGGCTTCTTTTTACTTCACAATTAAATTTTATCGTTCATCATACTGCTCTTTCTCGTTCCAATCATATCATTGAGAAGAACGTTGAAAAACTGACCAAACTAATTATATTCATCGAATTGGAAGAGTGTGAAGACATCTCGGAAAAACTATTTTAATATGTTTTATACAATATGTTCAAAATGACCCAAAAGTAGACTAAAAGAAAATTTTTATTCTATACAAAGCCATGAAAAGAACATTTTCCTTTTTAGTGGCTACATTGTGTTATGGATGTGTAGCGTCTACTTTGTACGGTAGAAAAAAAGGTGAAAATCGGTAGAATGAGATGAGATTAACTTTTTTTCACTTATTAATCATTTTCCGTACTATCTCTTTGATATTGATAAGAAAGCTAGAGCCATGACTTGAACCAAAGAAAAGGTTAACTTCAAAATCATCAAAAAATATTTGTAATTACCTTTTTCTGCTAATATAGTCCACGTAACAGCGTATAAAACTTGTTTTCATTGAACCCTTTTCAAATGCACAGTATATCAGCCAAATTTGCATTCTCTTTTCTCGTTACTGTTCTTATACCCTAATTACATTTAATATTTGAGATGCTGCTTCACTGTGATCGCTCTATGCTTACTCAAAATGACGACTACGAACAAGGTAAATATGTTCTTTATCATCTCTCATGTTTGTTCAGTTACGCATCCCATGTAGTGTCGAACTTTTGAATATCTAAACGAACATCATCAATAAAAGGATAGAAAGAATACGAAAAAGAATAAAATATATTTTGCATAATGCAGTTTCTGAAATATTTTAACCTATATTTTATATGATACGCATTGCGCAGAGCCAGACTTTAGAAATGTTTTGTTAGCTATTTACAGAAATCGTTTGACGTTAAAATATCTTTTTTCTCTATATTTAGGTGGAAAGTCGTAAATCCGACTCTGTACTACACTTCGTCTAACGAGGTGACATTTTGTCACGAGCCCGGCTCCCTCGATTACTCTGTGCGCGGAAAAGAATCTTGACTAAATCTGATGATCAGAAGAAAATTTGATTGTTAGATATGTGCTGGAGTCGATGTTTGTGTATATATTTCAGGGTTATAAGTTTAATGAGACACAAATCAACAACGAATATCTGCACGTGCTGAATTGGTTGCTTCGTATACTTAATAACATGCTTAAAAGTGTTTTATCTAGTTCATTCAGCTTTTATGAGAGTAATGCAATTGGTCGTCTATTAAATCGATTTAGTAAAGATCAACAAGTTGTTGATGAATTCTCACCATTGACATTTTCGAATAAAATTCAATTAGGAAACAATGAGACATCTAGTATGAAGCCCACTAGTCACTAAAAGTTCTGTGATCTAGATTAGGCTCAGTCATCTCGGAAACGATGGATATATGTTGCGTTTTGGTGGTAGTTAAATCCAAATACGGATTGTAAACGTGGTTTAACTGATGATGATTTATTTGATTTATCCCTTAATGATGAATGCGATCAGTTATGAAAAAGACTGAAATAGAACGGGAAAAGTACGAAAAGAAACATGAACATGTTAATACGTGGAAAATAGTCATTAAAGCATTCTGGAAAGAAGGTTTACTAGTTGTTCTAATGTTCTTTCCATTTGCTGGTATAAAAGTAGTACAATCATTATTTCTGAAAGAAGTGGTCCTTAATATTAGTGATTCAAGTGCGTCTTCATATGCGATTTATTTATATGCCATTGCATTAAGCTTAGCAACAATTTTAAAAGCATTTCTTAATCAACAATTGTTTTTTCGTGCATCACGAATTGAAACTCAAGTATGTATTGCAATTTCATCTATTATTTATAAAAGAGTATTATCGCTGCAAACACGCGTAGTTACGAAAACAACAACAGATCAAGTGATAAATTTAATCTCAAATGATGCAAGTGAATTTGAAGATTTAGGCCCGTATATATATATTATCTATGGGGAGCACCATTAGAAACACTCGTTGTCTTCGGTTTCATCTGGAATAATATAGGTATCTCAACACTTTTCGGCTATGCCGTATTGGTACTTTCGGTACCAATACAATTAGTTTTTAGTAAAATATTTACAACATATAGAAAAAATACTGTACAGTGGACTGATGAACGAATAAAAGTAATACACGAAATTTTGGTTGGTTGTCAAATTGTTAAAATGTCTAGGTGGGAGGAATCCTGGGAAAATGTTGTTTGTGATGCAAGAAATAATGAATTTAATAGTATACTTAAAGCAAGTAGTCTTCGAGCGACTAATATGAGTATGTTTTTTTCATCGTTATCATTAATTTCGTTAGCAACGTTTGATGGAAGCTGGTTGATGGGTCAAACATTATATCCTGCTAACATATTTACAGTTTTAGCATTTTTCAATATAATACGAGAACCAATGACTAGTTTTTTACCTCTTGCTATCGAAAGATTAAGCGAAAGTGTGATAGCTTCAAAGCGTATTGATGAATTCATGAACTTACCTAAGCAGATTAACACAAAAATAATACAAAATCAACTAGCGACGATCCTAATAGTATAGTAGGTAATATAGTAATGGATAAAGCCTCATTCACATGGGATTCTGCTAATTCGCCTGCATTAATTGAAATCGATTTGAATGTAAACACTGGTTCATTAGTTGGTATTATGGGAACAATCGGCTCGTGTAAATCATCTCTTTTGCAAGCTATACTAGGTGAGATGTCCCTTGTCCAAGGTAGTAGTAAAATATTTGGTACACTGGCATATGTATCTCAAACAGCATGGATATTTGCTGGCACAATACGGGAAAACATATTGTTTGGAAAATCATTTGATGAACAGAAATATAAAGCTGTATTGAAATCATGTTGTTCAATTGCTGATTTACGTACGTTCCAAGCTGGCGATTTAACAGTAATAGAGGGAAAAGGGGTAAATCTGAGTGGGGGACAAAAAACACGTGTCTCGTTAGTCAGAGCTTTATATACAGAAGCTGATATTTATTTATTTGATGATCCATTAGCAACAGTTGATCTAGTAGTTGCTAGAAAACTTTTTAAACGATGCATCAGTAATGAGGGTATGTTAAACGGTAAAACACGATTGTTAGTTACGCATCAAATACAACTTTTACCAAAAACTGATCATTGTATTTTATTAGATTATGGTAAAGTAAAAAAGCAAGGTACATTTGATTAACTATGTACAATAGATGAAATCAAGCAATTCTATGAACAACATCAGAGTCATACAAATGGAATTAAAAACAATAGTGAGCGAAATGATAGTAATGTGGACGATGATGATGATGTTCTTGATTTACCTCAAACTATTGATAAAAATAGTATTATTAAAGATGAAGTATCTGTGCACGGCACAATAAGTGGTGATGTTTGGGTGAAAGTATTTATTTCTGGTTATGGCTGGAGTGGATTATTATTATTAGTTTTTTTAATGTTATTGGGTGAAGCTGCTAATGATACGACTAACGTATGGTTAGGTTTATGGTCATCAAAACCAAAAACAGAGCAACGTGAAAGTTACTACGCATATACGTACTTAGGATTAGCAATTGGTATCGCTTTAATTCGAACTGATTATTTTTTTCAATTAATGTTACGTGGCGCATATTTATTGCATAATAACATGCTTAAAGGTGTTTTATATAGTTCATTGAGATTTTATGAGAGTAATCCAGTTGGTTGTATATTAAATCGATTTAGTAAAGATCAACAAGTTGTTGATGAATTGTTACCACTAACATTTTTTAATACAATTCAATTATTAATGATGGCAGTAGGTGGTGTTGCTATTATTGCTATGACAAATCCATGGATAACTCTAATATTAATACCAATTATTCCAACACTTTTATGATTACGAAGGTTTTATTCAAGAACAAGCAGAGAAATAAAACGATTAGAGAGCGTAACAAGAAGTCCTGTGTATGCATTAATTTCTTCATCACTAAGTGGATTAATGACTATTAGAGCGTACAAAGCAGAAAATGATTAAAGTTAACACAAACTCACGTGCATTGTTTGTAGTTGTTTGTTCAGCTAGATGGTTTGGTTTAAGATTAGATTTAATGACTTGTTTATTCACATTGTTGACAGCAGTTTTATCTGTTGCTTTACGTAATACCATGAATGTTTCATTTGTAGCATTGAGTCTAACGTACTGTATTAGTTTAACTAATGTATTTCAATAGAGAGTACGTCAGTCGACTGAAACTGAAACTTATATGACTAGTGCTGAAAGGATTCATGAATATGCGCACATTCCCTCAGAACCAGATTTTTGCAAAGGAAAATCAAAGCTGCCAACTAATTGGCCAAATAAAGGAAAAATTGAATTCAAAATTATATGTTAAGATATCGTTCAGAGCTTGAATCTGCATTAAAAGGTATAAATTTGAAAATTAATCCAAGTGATAAAATTGGTATTATTGGACGTACCGACGCTAGTAAGTCGTCTATTTTTCATGCGCTGCTTCGATTAACTGATAAATCAATAAAAGATGGTCAAATTTTCATTGATGGAATCGATATTAGCACCATTGGTTTAGGAGATTTACGATCAAATTTAAATATTATTCCACAATCACTGATTTTATTCTGTAATACACTAAGATATAATCTGGATCCATTCAAACGTTAGAGTGACCAACAATTATGGGATGTTTTAGAAGTTGTTGAATTAAAAAAGATGGTTAAAGAATTAAAAGATGGAATAGATACACAAATAGCCGAATATGGAAGTAATTTCAGTGCTGGTGAATGCCAACTAATATGTATAGCAAGAGCAATTTTAAAATCCAGTAAAATTTTATTAATTGATGAAGCAACAGTAAATGTTGACATAAAAACCGATGAATTAATTCAAAAAGTTTTACATGAAAAATTTATGGATCAAACCGTATTAACAATTGCACATCGTCTAAATACAGTAATGAGTAGTGGGAAAATAGTTTGTATAAATGATGGTATTGTTGCAGAATTTGGAACGCCAAAAGAACTACTCACTAAACAAAGTGAATTACTTGCCAATATGAACAGTGACAAGGAAGAAAATACATACGTATAAAAGATATATCTATAATAAAATTTTTTATTAAATTTGAATTGTACCGAACATCCATTACGAATTGTGACTTTTCATATCTCCAGTTTTTGTTGTCTTTCTTTTGTTGTTAAAAAAAGGAAAAAAGACTGGACTTTAGAGAAAACATATGAAAATTCGAAGAAAAAACATGAAACTTTTAAAGAAAAAAGATAAAAATTTAAAGAAGAAAGATTGAACTTTGAAGGTGTAGAGTTTTTCAAAATTTACCTTTAAAATGGCATGTAATTAGTTGAGGATCTGAAGGATTTGAGGCAGAAAACTAAGGGGAGATATAATGAGAAAATAAAATTCAATTTCTAATTGATGGAAATTTTTCTTTAAAATTTAGCTATTTTAAGTGATGACTGTTACACAATAGATTTAATTTTAAATGAGTACAATATATTTCTTTTTGTTGTTTTGAGTTTGTTAAACTTTTGAGTTGTTAAAAGAAATGTTTTTCCACAAACCGAGTCCATACTTTACTGGATACAATATCTAAATTGAAGTTTTTCAAAACTATAAGATTTATCTAGACAATTTATTTATTCAAATACATTGCGTTAAAAATCACTGGTTTTCTAGCAAGCCCTATTGTCGGCCTTTTTAAAATGTTCTTGACTTGGTTAAAAGAGCAAGCGTCGTTTCAAACCTTAAAGCCATAAAAGAAATTGTTTTATCTTTGGTCGTTACCGAGCTAGCCTGAACTAACATCTCATGCCGTTAGTTTGGAAAGAGCACCTTACTTAGAATCTAGTATTCCCGTCAAAGTCGTATGTTCATGAAGCTACAAGTTGACAACTAACTAGACATCAGGGCACGTAAATCTGTAGAAAAATAAATTTGCTGGGGAACAACCGCAGGTGGTGTAATGTCTCACGGGCAAATAAAAGTTCCCAAAAAATAAAGTTCATGTATTGCTCCTATTGTGCTGTCATCTGACAAGTAATAAATGATTGGATAGATAGTTCACTAAACTACACAAATATAGGTGGAATTTCATTTATTTATTTTTTGAATTTGGTTTTCTCAGTTTTTGGAAGAATAGGCAATAATGAGAATTTCTGTTTTCATCGTTGTTGAGACATTAGATGAAAACAGTTTTTTGACATCTCAAAAAGCTCTTCAACTACAATATCCAAAGTTTGGGTATAAAATCAATATGTAGGTTTAAACTGATTTCGTTAATTTGAGCTCTGGTTCTGATTTAGTTTACAATAATTCTTCAATTCATATGATAACTGCATGTACCATTTTTAGAAATTTGGAATTTGAAAATTATTTGAGTAATTCTAGAAAACTCGACCACGATAAAATTCCAAATTAACTGAGTAAGTTTCCTCGTACATATAAATTTCATAATCAAGATCGGAATGCTGTAGCTTGAGTGCTTTTCTAGAAAAGAAACACACTTTTCACACCTCTTGTTTTCATATAGATGACACGGTCAATTGAGTTCTTACAATTTCTCTATCCTGTTCAATTGTTATTAAATGCTGTGTTTGTCTATACATATACTCTAGCTATTGTTTTTAAACTTTTTCTATCTCTCTATATTCTTCCATTATTTTTACAGCAAGTTCAAGATAATTAAAATAACTCATTTTGTGTGTTCTTTAAAAAACTGAGAAAACCAAATCCAAAAAATAAGTAAATGAAATTCCACCTATATTTGTGTAGTTTAGTGGACTATCTATCCAATCATCTATTACTTGTCAAATGACAGTACAATAAGAGAAATACATGGAATTTATTTCTGGGAACTTCTATTTGTCAGTGAGAGAATACAGATTAATCATTCGTATTTCGTATTGTTAGCGGTATCGATTTTCATTTCTAAGGAGTAAGCTTGAATCGTCAAAGTGTTGTCTACACAATGTCACAAACCGCAGGTCACCACCACATGTCATCCTGCCGGGAGATCAGCCTAGAGTTGTAATCGGGCTGGTCTGATGAAAAAGTTTGAACCGGCCGGTCTCCATCGGTCTTTTGCCGATCTAGAAATATTTTCAAACCACCAGGTGATTAACCAGTTTTTTGCCGGTTTTGAAATTCTTAGCATTTTTCTCTTTTTCACTTAAAAAAATGAGTTTTCTACCCTCTTATCCGTCTAGAAAATATTTGAAAACCAGCCGGTTTGCTGCCGTCTTTTCACCGGGCTAAAACTTTTTTCAAAACCGACACGTCTTTCGCCGATCTTTCTCCGGTCTAAACCGATCTTTGGATCGTTCCGCTGCCTTTGATCGGCGGGTCCGGTCCAGCCTCTTATTTTTATACCAGTTTCAACTCTGTATCAGCCTTTGTTGAAGACTCCGTTCCTGAGCATAAAAAACTGTTGATGTTCCGGATTGTGAGGATTTCCCGTTCCTCGTTAAAATATATTCATTTTTATATATTCAATCATTTCATAAAATGATTGAAAATATAAAAAGAAGTCGATAAGTTGTTGAAACGGTCTGTACGCACAAATTCAATATGACATTTTCTAAGCCACGAATAAAAAGTTGAATAAAAAGGACTTAAACACATGGGCATATTGCATCGTCAGCCAACAAGCTTTGTGAAGGGCTAGGACTCGTACCTTAGAACTTTTGGATAATAGGAAATTTATGTTAGGCACGAGAAAATCAGACTTTTTCAGTTATCGATGAAAAATTTAAAAATATTCATAACTCTTCCTCATCAGCGTTCCCACTAAACTGTATAGCCATTTTATATGCAAAATACTTTGTTTTTCTGATGTGGGATGTCTTGGGTGACTCGACTTGATCGCTACAATCAAAAGACTTCTTCGAGTACCTTGATGCCTCCTGTCTAGACGGTATGTTGGTTAGTGCAGTACTGGAGGGACTTGTCTTAGACTGTGTGGTACTCCGAAGTCTACTTTGTCAATTTGGTCCTACTGATTACTTATGTGAAAAGAATTCATGCTGGGTACTATTGTAAAATTTAAGTGTAACAGTTTCCTGAGTGGTGTTCTTAGAACCGGCGAAAATTCTTGTCTGTAAGAGCAGTTTTGAAGTCTATCGAAAATCCTTGTTGACGCCTTTAATTGGACAGTTTCAGACAGCTTACGTCTTAATCTAGCTTAGTTAATATTTTCGAGTCACAAACATACCATTGAAAAGAAACGATGTTCTGCGTCCATATAAAGGTTTAGGATTTCTTGAAAAACGAATTTAAACACTTTTAAATTTAAAAGGTTAAAAATCTAAAAGTTTTTTAAATACCTGGAGTTTTTATTTCAACCGTTTAATGACCTCAGAGTTGAAATATGTTTTGCAATCATCAACTCATGAACCAATAAGTTAAACCTGCAAAAAAGACATAAAAATACAAAATACTAGAAACAACCTACCAATCTGTATTAAAATATCTGTTTGATCGGAAATCAGTTATATTTCAACCTCAAAGTAATAATGAAATAAGTACTCAAAGTGAACCTACTGTTCGAAAAGAACCATCCAATTAGTCTTTACAAGAATTGTTAAATGAAATTTTTGTTGTTGCCGAATCCGGTTGATAACCCCGTCATCCTGATTCTATGACATTCATCCCGAACGGTGGTGATCTGTTACATTCGATATTAGCTGATTCTGTTTGTAAATGTTTAAGCAAATATACATCTTATTATGCTGGAGTACCGGATCCTGTTTATTTAGAATGTCAACTTAGTCGGTGGTTCTGTTCGATGTTTGGATTTGAAAATGCGGTTTCGTCAGGTATTTTTACAACTGGTGGATCATCGTCTAATTTATCATCCGTTTGAAATCTTGTCACATCATACAAAAAAAATCAGAAACTGAAGTATCACGAACACAAAATTGTTTATTTTGATCCCGCTGGTGGATGATCGACACAAAAGAAGCATTTCGAGGACGAAACCTAAAACCAGCAAGAGGGGATCTGTGACAGTTACACTTCTACCACACCTTGTCTTAGTCTTCAGATTGTGTTCATGAGTATTGGGACTCATATTTTTTTCTCTGCGTGATATATGTTATCTGTCATTTTGTCACTGCATTGCTTTAATATGAGCATAGAATGGCGTGATGGGCTAGAATGCAGACGTATGTGTCTAATGAAAATATTCAAAAACAAGAAATTTTGCAAAGGAAAACGAATATTGACGAAAACATGGTTAAAAGCCTTCTCATTGGAGTGAAAAATATGACAGAAAGACCAAACAAGAAATTCTATATCAGATAAACTCACTATCAGACCGCTCATCCGAAGATAGTCGTTTTATTAGTTGTTCTTGAACTTTTTTGAGGTGCACAACATGCGATTATATTCTGAATAAACTGTAACAAAATCAACGAAAAGTTTCACGGACAAATGTTATAATTATAAGTCACTAAACGATGCCTTTCACCCTAGATGAAAAATACAGCTAAAAGTCAAGCTGATAAAAATATGTGTCGATCAAAGCGAAAGTATGTGCCTGGAACTACAGGTTTCCCTACTGATTCTTCATCCATATCTGTCTATTTTCACTTAATGTTTCTTCGAGTACCTTTCCACTATCCTTATCCCTGTCTATCATTGAACACTGTTCAAAACGCAAGCGCGCTTCGAAGATAGTCGCTATATCAACACATCTAGAAGTACAATTTTACAAAACACATGATGTTAGGATGTAGGTAGATATATTTACCACGTGTGAAGTTGAAAGGCAAAAGCCTAGTTCCCCCCTACATCGATGTCCTCTTTTTGTTTCGGTTGAACATGTATGTAGCAGAGCGAGTTGAACATCGCTTCTAATTGACTCAGCAAGGATTGAATTCGTCGTCCTGCCGCACACAGAAGGTTAGCTAGCGAACCAGCACTCGTCTGTCAAGCGTCTTTTCATTATCGACCAGGCGGAGGATTTAGATATTTCGTTCCCCTATTCTGCTCTACTTTTCTGGTTTTGGTTGCTAGATGGATACAATAGAGCAGCGAGAAGTGAGTGAAATAGCAAGCAAAGTCCGTATGCCGCTGTACATGGATTCCCGGACAGCCGCGGAATCAGTTAAATAGTCTTTCTCTCCCTCCCTGTGAAGTTATACTTTTCCATTTTATTTTATTTTCATGTATGTTGTTCTATATTTGTTTTGCTCCTGCAACGTTGTCTTTTCACTTATACATACATACCAAAAACCTTCTGACTTAGCAAGGAAAGGTGATTGATGGATAGGAGACGTTTCAATTTGCCGAGGATTCGCTAGACTATCTTTTAAGTGCCATAAAGTTATTTTAGAGATTTGAGGTTTTTGATGGTTTTCAGAAGACCTCTTGCGGCCCAATTAAGAGCTTTTCGAACTGCGGTAAACTGTTACGCTCCTTCATTTCTGAATTTTTTATTAAATAGTATCCTTGAAAATGTTTTTCCATAGTAATGGAGATCGTTTTTTCAAATTAAAAACTCAAACTTTAAATTAGATTCATATTAAAAGAAAGTTTTTTCCACCAACCAGGTCCATAGTTTCCTGGATACAATAACTAAATTGAAGTTTTTTCAAAACTATAAGATTTATCTAGATAATTTATTTATGGGTGAGTCTATGGATACTTCCGGGAGTGTCAATAAGGAGGTATTGGTACTCCCATGCAAAAAACTTTGCTGGTAGTGTCAATAAGGACGTCATCTGACATATGAGCGACCCGACGTTTGAAGGTTCCTCGAACTATTGTTTGACTCGCAAAAGTCGGGTTGTATATTCTGTATATTCTGGTCCTCACGGGCATCTCGCTGATCGAGAACGGCGGGTGGATAATGAGAGTAAGTGAAAAAGCTTAAAATGAAATAGATGAAAATTGATATTGACAACCCTTACGGGTGTCAGTAAGGAGATCGTCGGATATTTAAGCAATTTGTTATGTAATAATACTATCTTGGTTAATTGTTTAACTTCTTCACTTTATTCAGTAATACTTTACTATGCTATTTCATTCACAAAAAATTACAGCTATATATACATATCTCCGAACATCCGAGAAAGGATCAGAAAGGGATCTAATGACGTCAGAAGAACTGATCAGAACATGACATTATTAGGTCACAGCGTACGAATCACAGTGGGCATATAGGCGGAAATTACGCGGAAAATCGAAATAATCCTTTTTTCAAATATAAATAGTGCAAAATGTAGCTCTTGAAATTGTCTATCGAATGGTGTATAAATGTCTATTTTTAAGTTCTTTCCTTCAACCAGAAAATCAAGGTACACAAAACTAATTAAGAATACGTAGTTACACACGAAATCAAGCTTATTTCTTTGACT